TTCAATTTTTTTTTTTTTTTTTTTTTTTTTGTACCTCTCATCTAAAGTTCTATTTCATGTTTTTTCAGTGTACTTTTTGGTTTATCCAAATTTTTTCATTATATTTTAATAAATCTTAGTACAAGTTAATATGACTCGAATTAACTCTGTCTAATAACTTAAATATTGTTAGGAATCACGGTTCTCCATAATAGTATTTTCCACTTATAAACTTATGATTTTTCACTAAATTAACCGATAGGAATCACGACTCTCCACTACTAAATTAACCGATAGGAATCACGACTCTCCACTAAATTAATCAGTATTCCCCACTTATAAACCTATAATCTTCCACTAAATGAACGAGTATTCCCCACTTATAAACCTATGATCTTCCACTAAATTAACCAAAAGGTCTCACATTAATGGAAATAGTATTTCCCACTTATAAACGCATGATCTTCCACTAAATTAATCGGTGGAACTCACTCCCAATAATCTTCTACAAATATGTCTGTAGACGTTTAAAATGTTGAGTGAATTTTTTAATTTTTAATTTTATATCATATAAATTTAAGAGATATTTAAAATTTTCAAATTTTATTGGATGCATTAAATAAAAAAAATTAAAATTTATTTCTAATATAAAATCTTGGGCTGATAAACATAAAATTAAAAATTTTAAAATATATTAGACGTAAAATTAAAATTTTTAAAATATATTAGACATAAAATTTTAAATTTTAAATTGTATTAGACCCTTATTATCAAATATTTATTTGGCAAAAAAAAAAATAGATTTTTAAATATTTATTAGACAGGGTAGGAATTAAATATACACCAAACCAAAAATCTAGGTAGAACCCCTACTCCTATGTTGCTTTAATTTTTCAATAATAAATATACTTGAAATTTTGAGGTTACAGGTTTTGTTATTTCCAAATCATATTTTAATTTTGGCAATGTTTTAATCCACAAATAAATTAATCTCCATAGTCTTTAGGGATTTGATATCTCTCTTTTTGTTTAATCAAAATTAAATAATTATTATAAATTTGTTTTGACTTATTTAAAAAAATTAATGTTAATACTTGTGTCCATGTACAACCTTACATTTTTCTTCATTTTAAATAAAATATTAAGAGAAAAATAAATTAAAAAAATTGAACTAATAATTAGAGGACATCTTCCATAATTTAACTATCTCTGGCTTATACTTAAACAGAAAAATCCAAGTGGTAATGAACTGACTTTCATTTTTAATCACGTAAACCTTTCTATAGATAGAGCATTAGCTCATCTTATCTTAATTTAGTAGATAAAACACTAATTAGAACGACAAGGATCTCTAATTCATTTTTCAATCCCGTAATTATAGAGCTAGTAATTATAGAGCTAAAAAACGAGGAATGGAACAGATTTGAATCTAAGATAAACCACACGAGAGCATTGAATCAACAAACAGAGCTCATATGGCAATAGTCACTGCACATCATTAATTTTATCTTAATATCAATCAACAAAAGCCCTTAATCTAATCAAAAGCTTCCTTCTAAATACTCAATAGTAATGAAATACCCCAAAAAATTGTTCATACAGGGAGAAAAAACCACGAAATGAACAGAGTAATAGAGACAAAGAACTAAGGAACAATACAGTGAAAAAGCAACAAAAAGTGCTTAAAAGTGGGGGCCATCCATGTGAAAACAAAATTAGAAAAGAAAAACTTACTGAAATCAGCACTACCACGGATAAGATATCACCATGAACACTTCCTGGATGGTTCCTGCTTGTCTAGACAGCTTCCTCTGTCTTGGAAAATTCTCGAGCAAACAAGTTTGATTCGATTCAAGTCAGCAGATCTTTGAGAATCTTGTGCAAACGTCATCTATGGTAAATATGGGCTTTGAATGAATTACATGATGGTGCACAAACACCTTGCTTTCCCAATATCATTTTCATCGTCAGATGCATTTATTTCACTGCATTTGGGGATGAACAAACTTAAGATAGGATGTAATGCCAATTCTCATCAGTAAAACTAAGCAACAGGGTTATGTTTTAGTCATTTATTAGGCTAAGTGTATCATCAAGACTTGTACTTCGTGACTAAATGCACATTAATGTCAATGAAGATTTGAAATTTTCCATTGTTCAAAAGGGAAGATGTGATGAACATTGAAGAACACATGGAACATGAACCTATATGCAAGCTTCAAAACAAAAGATATGCTTTTGAAGTTTTCATACCTTGGTTCAAATTCTTTGACTTCAGCAAGTTCGCTTCCACAAGTATCTGTCCACTGTACTTTCCTTCTTTCTACATGACTAGAATCATAACTACCCTTTTCTCCCAATGCTTCATTTCCACCAGCATTCTGTACAGAAACTGCAGGAGCATCCGATGCCTTTTTCAAGCTACTTTTAAGCACCATTTTTCTTGCAAGATTATCGTCATCTGAACTAGGAACACGATCCTTGCCATTATCGGAAAGAGGAGATGTTCTTGAACTGTCTTGGCGCTGTGTAGAGGCTGCTTTCTTCAAAGGAGATGGAATTGGCCCTGCAGGGTTCCACCAGAAGCAGCGAAGGGAGGGGGAGGCGCACCTCCAGGAAATCCACGTCTTTCTTGAAGCCAGCTGGTTGTTGAGGTCAGGCTCTCGGTCCACCAAGAATGGCAAAACTCTCATGGGATTATCTTCGCTCTTCTGACCCAAAAGAAGAAGGGTCAAGCTACTGCTATAACCAGAAGCTGAAGAAGAAAAGAACCCTCCCCCTTCTACTGCCAAGAACATTGGTTGAGCTCATCTGGGAACCCAAAAAGAATTTTGACAAAAAGCTCTAAGAATATTATGAACACACCCTCTCATTCATCCATCTATAACTCAGAATCAGAATGGTCATCGTACCTATCACCATCGAAAGTGTTCCCCAGCTCGTATGATCCACCTCTGATGTTAAAATTTCTTTCTAATAATCTGTACCGGTTGGCTGTTGTTTAGAACAATGTTAAAATGGTTCTAGATTCACAAGGCATTCAAATGCATACTCAAAGCTTAAATCGGTGGTCGTGGGGGAACACAAACAACAAAATCCTATGGAGTTTGAACTTCAAATAAAAATGATTCACCATCGTCATGCCCTTATCAGTCACAAATTACTTAAAGTTATCGCTGAATAATGTGCCAAAAAGAATGAAGAGATGAAAGCCAGGATGTGGATTCAATGCATAGAAATTCTATGTCAGAATCGAGGAATGAAAACAGCAACAGATAAGATCATGATATGATAATAACTCTCTTACGCGTTTTTAATGCAGAAAATTTTCTTCCTCTCCTACAAGTTATCCGAAATTGAAAACTGGAGGCTACGGCACGGAAATTTCAATATTCTATACAATTGAAATCTATGAACTGCTAGATTACTTGGCTCAGCTAAGCTTTTGGATCCAGCGGCGATTTCACGCGGTAGAGAGAATTTACAAATTATCAACATTATTGAAACAAAAAACGGAACATATTCATTGCAGATACGAAGGGGGAAAAACAAGAAAATAACAGACGAACTATAAATAATTGGAATAGATAAAATTAATTTGTGGAAGGGGAAATAAAGAGCTACCGGACCACATGGAAAGAATCTTCCGCCGTTATTCTAATCTTCACGAAACTCGATAAGATATAACTTTCAGCTTTTGTTCTGAAACGCTCAAACGCGTTCAAAAACTCCGATAACGAATTCAAATCTACAATCTCCTGCGCAAAAGTTGAACAAAAATCAATAATCAAATCGAACATCTCACTGGCCATAGCGCTCGGTTCACGAACTCTGAAATGCAGACAACTCGTATCGAAAAAAAACATGAACAAGAACAATACAACCATTTCAGAAATCTGAAAATAACTTCCACTTGAGAAAACAACTATCAATTATCAAACAAATTCTAGCAAAATGAGGATTCACATTCTCCGAAACGAACACAAATTCGAAGAACGATCTATTCGATTCGATTCGATTCGATTCCTCGTGTACACAAAAATGAGATCGAACGGAGAGGAAGAGAATTGTGGCTGTACCTGACTGCAGATTCAGACTACGTGTGACAGAGAATAGCAGTAGAGATAAAAATCGGCAGCGTTTCGGAAGTGAATCGGCGGCTCTGACGGTTTTGCTCCTGAAAATGGCAGTACAGATAAAAATCGCCGAGTAATTGGGTGAGAGACGAGAATATTTTAAAGAATAAAAGAAAAAAAAAAAAAAAAGAGTCAGAGCCGTCTCTGGCTTACATTATTTTCGGGAAGACAAAGATGGTTCGCTCTCAGGCGCATAATAGTGATGGGCCCCACCTATTATTTTTATATATTTTTAATTATCTTCCATTTATAATTATTATGTTTTTATCTTATAATCAAGCAATAAATTGTTCTTAGATGGACAGATAAAAGTGAGTGTGGGCCCAATCGTCATTTCCGATGGCGATTTTAATTTTTAATTCTCTTTCCAATAAATGGAGACAAATTTTAATAATTTCTCGACAACAAATAGTCCAACTATTTAATACGGTCGCCTTATATTATAAATATTTTTATTATTTTTTTTAAAACAAAATATATTTTCTTCTTACTATAAACAAACCTTAAACCAATTAATTTGATGGGTTCATTTAGTGAGAGGACAAAAAGGTAAAATGATATTTAGTTGAGATTTAAAAGAAATATAATATTTAATAACCATATCACGACAAAAGTTATATTCCTAGAGTAATTATCTCAATATATATATATATATAACTAATTTTTAATACAAAATTTATTAATATATATATTTATTTATTTAAAATAAAATTAAAAAAACGGTTAATTAATTTATTTTGCAAGAAGAAAAGAGGAATAATTTTATGTTTTTGTTTTTTTTTTTAAATAGCAATAAATACAAAATTTATTCCTTGTTTGGCAATTAGAGGAATGAAGGAAAGATTAAATTTATGGTGAGAATTGGTTTTTAGGCATCAAAATTGCTTCTATTTAGGGAACACTCATATGATTTTGAGCTAAAAATCATTGTAATTTTGCTTTTCATTAATTACATATTTGTCCTCTCCTTTACTCTTTCTTTTAATCAATAATAATTAATGCTTACCATTCACTTTTAATACCAATTTCCAACTGTTTTTATTAGATATTTTAAATTTTATAATTTAAATATACAAAATTAAAAATATTTAACATAGGTAAAGTTTGTCAGTGCGATTTTTATATGTTTGATATTTTAATTTTAAGATTTTAATTATATTATGATAAATTCTATTTTTTTAAATAAAAAAAATTAACCTGACAACTCAACCCAATTCACACACAACACAATGAACTTCGGTAGTCTTGGCTTTAACCCCCAATTGATTCTAATTCTGACTGGCAACTGTTCTGCACACTCTAGCACTCTTGATACACTTGCAAGGTCTTCGATCAACTCTTGAGTTCATTTCTCTTGACGGTCTTGTCCGACTAGACACACAAAGTGTTGCTCTGATACCAACTGTTACAGTCCTATTTTTTTTACCGCGCGGCATCGTGATCTTGACATGCTCATGACTAACTTTAAGAAGGATATGATTAATTGTCAACTTATCTCTGCCCGATAGTTATATGTTGTAAGCTGTTGTCATTGTCTTTTTGCTTACATCACATATAACACCAATTTTAATCTCTAAAATCTTTCTTTCGAAAGCTCTCTACCTATGTTTTCTAAAAAAACATTTTATGCGACATAAGAATGAATTGACTTAACTCACTTCTTACTGGGAAGTGAGTGTCACACAATGAAATAGAAAGTTAGATTGGGTTGGGTTGTGAACTCAATTCAAGTTACTTAACGAACTCAATTAACCCAATATTTCGGATTGGTTCAAAATATTTTTTTAAACCTAACTCAACTCAACTCAACTCGTTTACCCTGAAATCAGAGATTTTAATAAATTAAATTAATTTATGTCGGTATATATATATAAAATTAACAAACTCCAAAATTTGATGTAAAAACAAAAGAAAGGTTTGTGGAGGTTTTGAATGGGTTCTGTAAGATTTGACATTTCTGACATGGAAACGACAGTGGTTTGCAGTCTGAGAAAAAGGATTCAATGGATGAATTTCATTATTCTGTCCCTAACCAGTTCCTCTAGGCCACTTATACATAACTTGATGCCTTCGTGGGCCCAAACAAGGCCCAACATACCCCCTCTCTCTCCTCCATTCAAGTAAGAGAGAGAAATTAATTTTAAAAATAAAAATTTAATTTCTAATTTTCAAATTTATGTGTTTGAATTTTCAAAAATATCTACTAAAACTATAAATTCTTAATTTTATATTTAATGTTTTTTTTTTAAATCATTCATTAAATATCAATATAAATTTTATATTTGATGGAGTTAAAAACAATTTTTTAAAATATAAAATTAGGGAATTACATATTTTAAATTCAAATATTTAAAGATGGGAATAAAGTAAATTTATGAGAGCAACATACAAAATGAATTTAAACTAAATTTAATTTCATATTTATAAGTAATTTTAAAGAGTATAATTAGTTTTTTATTTTAGAAGTTGAGATAAATTAATATTAAAGGTAAATTTTAAATGGTTCGAATATTTAATAAGAGAAAAATAAAGAGACATTAGACAGAGTTCCTCAAAACACGCGAGGGACAACTGGAATAACAATTTAAGGAGATGGAGTATTTTTTTTTTTTTAATAATGTCGTAATAAAAGAATAATACTAATTATTTTAATTTTTAATAAACTAAAATATTATATCGCCCTAATTATTGTTTAAGCTAAATTAATAAAAAAAAATTATATATTTGAATTAAAAATATTACGACTTTTAGTTAATTAAGATTTACAATTCATTTAATTTTATTGGATTAAAATTTCAACTGAAATAAGTAACTAATTAATACATTTAATTAGATTCCATTTTTTTAAACTTTTAAAATTTTAATTTTAGTTATTTAACTTATAAATTTAAAATTCAGACAGAAAAAATATTTATATTTATTTAAAAACTAAATTTTATTTTTTATTTGTTAGAAACTAATTAAAATTAAGAAATTAAGAAATTAAGAAATCTATAAAATACAAATTTTAAGATTTTAAGATTTTTTTTTTAAATACGAAATTTTATAATTCTATTAGAGATAGATTTAATTTTATAATATTGTTCACTTTGAGCACATCTTCTGAACAAAATACACCATTGAGTCTTACCTTAAACGGTCGTATCTATCAATCTAACACTGTTTAGACGACACATATTCTTTGTAGTACATTTTCGAGACTTCTTATTCGACATCCTAGTCATTACTGCATGGCTGAGTTAAAATAAGGTTACGACCGTAATTCTATTGATAGGAGTAACAGACCTTCACGATAGAATGATATTTTAATTCGTATATGCGTTAATATGAATAATAGACATTCGATTAGTGTATGTTTCTCTTTAATATATTTTAAAAATTGAAATATATTATATTAACTCGAGAGGTTTTATAAGATCGAATTATGAACGTGACATCAACGATTAATGTAATATTTAATACGCTTCATATAATTGTATAAGCATATAATATAATATAATATATGGTTATTAATTGTCGAATATTATTTCACATGAGCTCTTCATTCCTATGACGCGTGGAGAGTTGCCAGCTGACTACTTTGCGGGTGGACATGGGACAACAGAATCACAAGCCATGATCGAATTCATATTTATTAAAAAAAATAAAGAAAAAATTTAAAATTATTATATATAATTGTCATTAAATTATTACATGATATAGAAATTTATCAAATTGTTACCATTAAATAATATTTTTCTCGTTCCTAAAATTGAAAATACTTAAGAAATTGATTTATTATTTGTCTAAATAAAATTAGATTTGAGTGATAAAATCACTTTGCTAAAATTAGGCTTAAATATATTTTTACCAATTATACTAAAAAATGCAAAATTTATTCTAATTGCCTGTAATATGATGAAATTTTTTTATATGGTTTTCTTTCCATACATTAAAATCATCAATAAAAATTAATAATTGGTTTTTTTAGTTCCTCAATCACTTTTTTAGCACCAAATTTTTGTTCGAGTCAGAATAGTTAAGACCTATGATCAAAATTCTCAGCTCGAGAATGAAATATCTCATTTCTGAATCAAAATTTTGACATTTTGTTCGAGATTATATGTTGTAACCAATCAAGTGACCATAAGGATTCTCGTCCCTGCCACAATTATTTTTTTTCAAAGATCAAAGATTTCCCTCGTGAAAATCAAGGGGATCGAATTCCTCCCATAATTTTTTTTCTATTATATATATTATAACATAGTTTTTATATATTTATATGATAAAATTAATATTATCTCGTAAACAAAAATATAATATAATATTCTACTAATATTGTTTTTAAATATTTAAATATAAATATTTCAACATCTTCCAAACAAATAAATATATTTATTTATTTTCTAAATTAATAAATAAATATATAATAGGTTAAATAGACATAAGAGATATTTACTAATTAAATAAAAATAATAATAGATGAGAACTCCAATGAAAAAAGGTGGTAACACGTGTTAACACACTATAAGGCAGAGCGAGGGAGTGGGCCCCACGGGAGCCCAAACTGGGAAATCGTGGGCATCAAAATCTTGCCACCAGCCCTTCATTGGCCAACTGACCTTCTGCCCGCCCACCCCCTGCCGCTTCCATTTCCATTTCCATTTCTATTTCTTACAAATCAAAACACATCCAAAAAAGAAGGGGAAGAAAAAGGAAAAGAAAAAAAAAACTCTGAATCTCACAAACGCCAACTCTCAGTCAATAAAATCCATGCTCGTTCGAAATCCTAACTCTGAGCTTCTCCATTTCAATCTGCCCTAACTGACCTCTCCTCTCTGTCACTCTTCCTCTCCGTTTCTTAAGCCACAACGTGCGCTCATGCTTCCATCGATTTGACGGTATGTGCTGTTTCTTCTGATTCTAAATTCTGTTTCCATGTGATTGTGGAGTGGTGGAGTGTGATTTGGTTTGTGATTTGGTTTGTGTTTGGTTGAATCGGCGATGGATCTGTGTTTGCTTTTGCTCAATTCTTTGATTTTTGATCTTCTGTGTCTGCCTTTGATTTTCATTTTCTATTTAGATCTGTTTCGGCTTTAATATCGCGTTTCGATGGCGCTGTTTCGTTCTGCATTGATTGTGTTTTTTTTTTCTTGCTGGATCTGTTGTATTATTGTCTACTTGTTTGATTAGGATGGATTTGCTACTGCTGATAATGTGTAATCGGTGCGAGTTCTACGTTTTTTTAGTTTCTGACTTGATGATGTTTGGATTTACAGTATATCTCGTTACTTCTGCTGTAAACTATGGAATTTGTGTAGATGTGATCGAATTTCATGGAAGCTGAGGGATAAAGGTTTTCGCAGAAGACGTATAAGAAAGTTTTGTGAAAATGGCTCCATCTAGCAAAGCTGACAAGAAAGCGGCTGTAGATGCAGCCGCTTGGATGTTTAACGTTGTAACGTCTGTTGGAATTATAATCGTGAATAAGGCTCTTATGGCTACGTATGGCTTCAGCTTCGGTAATTATTTTCTTCATCGCTTCCGTTTCAATTATCTGTATCTTCCTTGTGTTCATCATGTCTATTTCTTTAGCATGTAGTTATTAGGGGCTATTTTCTGAAAGTGTACATGGTTGCTTGGGAGTTTAGTGACGTTCTCTTATTTCCAAGTTTGGTCTATGATCGGCATTCTCCTCTGTTTCCATTATTAGTCTTATCATTTCCTGTTTAAGAAGGTTCCTGCTATCTTCAATACTTCTGTTTGTTTTCTGGTGCTGTCTATGCGATTGCTTGAGAAATAATAGCACTCTCAAGTTTCATCCACTGTCTAAATTTGCACACTTGCTTTTCCTTCTTAAAGCAAAATTAAAATCCATATGTTCAGTTTATCCTAGTAGGAAACATAGCAGTAATCTGCGTACATGGCTATAGTCATAAATTATACATATAAATAAGTTTAAAAAGGGGTAGAAATGAAAAACTGATATGCATGTGTTAAGTGCTCTCCCTATTATAAAATTATTAGATTAGCTAGAAAATGCGATGACTAGAAAATTTCTCCCCAAACAAAAGCCAAGGAGATTGAAGTAAAGCTCACCAAGCGGCTTAGCTAAAAAATAGGTTGGTTGTAAAATACGAGGGATAGGTGCTTATAATTAAACGTTGCAGCTGATTTTTATTGCTTACCAATAACTGGATATATGTTTTTGGAGTTTTCTAAAACTATTCATTTCACCTAAATAAAGTCATTCCATAATGTTATCCGTTCTAAGTGAGCTTCAGTTCGTTTACTTTTTTAGCAAAAAAAGTATGTGAATGGAAATTGGTAGAGAATCATGTCGTGTGGCATGAATCAAACATCAGGTGGAATACGTTTGAGCATTAATCTTGAAGATATAGACTAACTGATGCATTGAACGAGTGAGAGTTTGATCTACCGTGTAAAACAGCTTAGTGATGGTGTTAGGAAACACACAAGTGATCTCATTACTAATCTTGTTATTCATGTTGGTATATTAAACATGTGTTGGGGGGGAATGTTGTATGTGCATTATTGCTTTGAGCACTTTTTGGATTTAAGTTCAATGGAAAATTGTTGAAAAAGGTTAAACTAATAATATATTGTATATAAGAAAGAAACCGGTAAAACATTTCAATCCAATTGCTCTAGTTTGGCAATGAACCTAGAAAAGGTAGGTATAGGGTATGTATGAGCCTCTTAAGTTTGAAGTGTGATTGTGAAGTTTGGTAATTGGTGGTTTTAAACTGTAGGTCGTAGCAGTGATCGTATAATTTGATTCATGTTTTTTTTCTAATTATGCATACAACAATATCTTGCAGCCACAACTTTAACAGGTTTGCATTTTGCGACAACCACACTGATGACTGTTATTCTAAGGTGGCTTGGGTATATTCAACCCTCCCACCTCCCTCTACCAGAGCTTCTAAAGTTTGTACTATTTGCCAACTTTTCTATTGTTGGAATGAATGTTAGCCTGATGTGGAATTCAGTGGGATTTTATCAGGTAAATTCAACTCTTAGTAAGCCTTTCTGTTTTCTTGGAGTATCATAACTATTCTCAAATTTCATACCGATCTTGTTCTGTTGTCAGATTGCAAAGCTAAGTATGATACCCGTCTCTTGCTTGTTGGAAGTGGTCTTGGACAAGATTCGGTACTCCAGAGACACGAAGCTGAGCATTGGAGTTGTTCTCTTGGGTGTTGGAGTATGCACTGTAACTGATGTCAGTGTTAATACCAGAGGCTTTATTGCTGCCATTATCGCCGTATGGAGCACTTCTCTGCAGCAATACGTGAGTTATTCACATTCCTCTTAACATTTATCCCTAAATCCTCTTTGTTTCCGAATCATGCTTGTAGATTTCTTTTTGGAACAGAAAGCATAAATACTCACCACTCGTTTCTAACTAAGAATCACCTAGCATGCGCATCCAATTCCTAAACACACACGCACACACAAAAGAATGGCAACCTTTTTCCAAATTCCTTGTAACAATATTGAATTTGATTAAACTTTGACATGCAGTATGTGCATTTCCTCCAACGGAAGTATTCGCTCAGTTCCTTCAACCTGTTAGGACATACAGCACCAGCGCAGGCCGGGTCTCTTCTACTGATCGGACCGTTTCTCGACTACTGGTTGACGACGAAAAGGATAGACCAATATAACTACAACTTAGCCTCTACCGTAAGTTAACGTATTACTTGAAGCCCACTTTTATTCCCCTCATGAACTTGATTGCTCAACACTCACCCATTTGGCACATTTCACAGATATTCATAATTCTGTCCTGCACCATTGCCGTGGGGACCAATCTCAGCCAGTTCATCTGCATAGGCAGATTCACAGCTGTGTCATTTCAAGTTCTTGGCCACATGAAGACAATCCTTGTCTTGGTCATGGGATTCTTCTTCTTTGGGAAGGAGGGGCTTAACATGCAGGTAGTTTTGGGAATGATCATAGCTGTCATTGGGATGATCTGGTACGGTAACGCCTCGTCGAAACCTGGTGGAAAAGAACGTCGAACCCACACGCTCCCGACGTCTAGACAACCAAAACATGGTGGTGGTTTAACAGATTCTACTGAACATGAGGGGAAGGTCTAAAGGAGAGTTGGCTCATTCCATTAAGAAAATTTTTAATTTAATTTGCTGAGTTTAGAATGACGATCTATATTTCTCATATTTATTCATCCCTCTATTTCTCTAAATTTCTTCTTTTTTTTCTCCAGAGTATTCGATTTCTCAGAGAGCGGCATTGTGTAATTCAGGATAGGGAAGTGTTCTTGGAATTTTCATTTTTTTTTTCTTTAATTGTTATCACAATCACAGCTACTACTAATTTTGGCCATAAACATTTTGATTCAAACCCAACAGGTGGTCTGTTGGCTTGACATCTTTTATTACGAGAAAAAAGCTTCTTATAAAATCAACCTTAAAATCAAATCATATTCGATTAATTCATTCTTGGCTTCATTTACCAAAGACTGATTTTCAAAAAATAATAAAATTAATTAAAATCTCAAACTTAATCTACACATTTGTAAATTTAGAACTTCCTTAGATAAATTAACTTAAAATCGCACTTTTAATGGCAGCGGATCTGCGATTGTGTGGCACTCACTTTGTGGCACTCACTTTTCAATGATAAGTGAGCTAAGCCAATTCGTTCTTGCGTCACCTACAGCCAAGCGACGTATGCTCGAGTCTTTGGCCTCAGTTTTAAAAGAATGTTTTAGCGAGGGCAGAAAGAGATTTTCGAAAGAGACCTTATATAAGCAAGCAAGAGAATACCGTTATAACATTCATTTTGCTTGAAAACTGCATTATTATTATTATTATTATTATTATTATTATTATTATTATTATTATTATTTATTTATTTTATTTTATTGCATGAAATAGCTTTGTGATTTTAATTAGAATTAAATTGTAGTTATATATTAGCCACAAAATTTTAAAATAATTCACTGATCAGTTTAAAAATAGAATTAGATGGATCTTTCAAGATTACAATTTTAAACTTCTGGATAGAAATATAAATTTTAAATTACAAAAATTAAAACGAACACATTTCCTCACAGATTAATTATTACAGGGTAGCATAAAATATTAGAAATTAAATTGTTGCACTTAGAAATAACAAAGCAAAAATTTCCAATATTGTGGCTTACGTGAAGCTATGGACTGCATAATCAAAATTTAAATTTTATTTTTAGTTTAATAATAATTAACATACTAATAAGTTAATTAAATAATATATGTAAAATAAAAATTATAAAAAAATTACACATATTTATAATTTAAACACATTAAAATTATGAAGGAAAATTAATATATTTTTCTAAAATCTTTTTGACAGGTAAAGAAGGTTGTAGTTATGGAATAAAATCAGTTATCATACATAAAATTTTTAAAAAACATAATATTCGATAACAATACTAAATTAAAATTCAAAGAGAACACAGATGGATAATGGAGAAGATAAATAATAAATTCGACTGGGATTTCAATCTCTATTATAACGACCAAAAATGAATGAGCGAAATGCAAATATAAATGGCCAAAGGTTTCAAAAACCCCAGCCAAAATCCAAAGAGATCCAAACCCAAAAAATCTCAAACACTAATCATATTAATCAAGAAAAATCGCTTGCAAAATAAGAAAGGGATCGAAATTATTAACGCTTCTTCGAGACACCAACAGTCTTCCCTCGGCGTCCAGTAGTCTTAGTGTGCTGACCACGGACACGAAGACCCCAGTAGTGTCGCAGCCCACGGTGGTTCCTGCACATGATTTTATCACCGAACTTAGTATTAAGGCCATTAGACATCAAAATACAGAGCTTAGGTCGAGTTTGCATCATCAGAATCAGGCCAGAGAGTAAAAGATAAACAATGCACTGCCCCGACATCGTACTCAAACATTTATCAAAAGTAGAGAAGATGATCAACAGTCGTAAGCACAGAGGTTTTGAAATGGTAAGTGGATACAAAGCTCTGCCCCGGCGTCGCGTATTACTCAAATTGTTCGCTCGAATATATCAGGGACAATCTATCTAAGTCTTCTTCCAATAACCATAAATACTTTGAAATTACATAGATACACCATAGTAAAAAATCGACAACTTCAAGACTTGGTTGATCCATTAGGAAACTTTCTATTTCGGCAAAGATTATCCTTTCCGGTATCTAAACAGAAAATTACTAATACATTATATCTTGATCGGACGGATAGACAACTAACAATGTCAAATGGCAATAAAGTTAACAGTTTCAAGAGCCTTATAATCTAATATTGTGTGCTCAATGAAACCAAAAACATATATGTTGCTAATAAGAATCACCTGATCTTCTTCAATCGCTCCAAGTCGTCTCTCAGCTTCATGTCGAGAGCATTCGATACCACCTGTGAGTACTTACCATCCTTGTAGTCCTTCTGTCTATTCAAAAACCAGTCAGGAATTTTGAACTGTCGGGGGTTCGCAACAACCACCATGAGATTGTCCAGCTCGGCCGCAGTTAATTCACCAGCCCTAAAGTCAGAAGAACACATTTTAAAAAAATGTATTAAGGGCGATTACACAAATATAATCAACAAATCCTCAACGATAAACTACCAAGATTATATCCTAAACAATCAACGTTTAGATTGAATACGAATCCATTGAAAAACATTATTGCATCTGCATAGGCAGAAGAACATGAATTCAGTCGTTTAGTTTTTCTCTCATGATACTCCTAAACTACATTAGGTACCTTAAATCCTAGCAAAATACCAACTACATTAATCTTTAATTTGGATCTTGACATCACAAATACAGAATATCGAGCAAATACAGCATTTTAAACAAGTATGAGCTTGTGGAACTGTTCTAAAAACAATCTGTTAACGAACATAAACCTAATGAAAACATATCTGATTAACTTAGACTACAAAAAAGAGATCTCCTTACGATCTCATGGATCACTAACATGAACGAGAAAAGGAATACCTTTTGTTCATGTCAACATCGGCTTTTTTGCAAACCATGTTGGCGAGACGCCTTCCAATACCTTTGATGGAAGTAAGAGCGAACATAATCTTCTGCTTCCCATCGACATTAGTGTTGAGCACACGCAAAATGTGCTGGAAATCTTCGTTCGCAACCAACGACTGTATCGACGATAAAAAGAAAACATTAAGACGTTCGTAAAGAGATAGAGGTTCATCCGATTAAGGAGAAGAAATAGTACAACAATGGTGAAGAAAATAAGGCATCGAGGTTCACCATTTTGACGGCAGACGGCGAGCGGCTTCGTCCTGATGCTTCTTCTCCCAGAGGCTGCAACAAAACGAACGACTTACCTGGTGAAAGAGGCCGAAAATTAGGGTTTTATATTAGGCATATTTTTCTTCTAGGGTTGATTGTTTCTGTGAAAAGCCTACTTTACCCTTTTAAATGAATTTCATAAATGCCTGTTCAGGACATTTTGAACTCGGCCCATTTATAGGCCTGGTTTTCGTTTGAGATCTGGCCCATTTATTTTTAATTTAATTGAAATTTGTCATATAACTATATTTTTTTTTAGCTATTTAAATTTTTATTTTTCATAACTAATTGTATTGATTTTTTTTTTTTTTTTTTAACTCAATTGAAAATTGAATTTATTGGTAATTTTTCTTACTTTTGCATAGTTATAATATAGTTTCTACATTTTGGATATTCTAATTTACACCAATTATATGTTTACCACTACTTATTAAGCGTTTAATTGTAACATTGGACAATGATTAGAGATTGTCAACAATGATTAGAGGTTGTTACCGACCAACATTGCCCACCACCATTCACCACTACTGTCGACGACCACCATACCATGGCAATTGCTGATTCGAGGTTGTCGTCGACCAGCATTGCCCGCCACCAATCACCACCTATTGCCGACGACCACCATACCATGGCAGTTGTTGATTCGAGGTTGTCGCCGACCAGCATTGCCCACCACCAGTCACCACCTACTGCTGACGACCACCATACCATGGCAATTGCCGATTAGAATTGTCCACCACCAATCATCACCTACTGTCGACGACCACCATACATTGACAATTGTCGTTGCCCACCACCAATTACCCACCTACTACCGACAGACCACCATACCATTGGTCATAGCATTTTAGATATAAATTTAAACTTTATACTCTTCGTTTTCGTTAATAGTTCACTTTATAGCAACTCGATATTGGCACATTTTCTATGTTGATTTTTTAAATTTAATATTTAAAATTAAAATCAAACCACCAACCTTAATGTTTAAACAAAATATGTGAATTCTTCTTAAAAGCCAAAATACCATATTTCATATATTCCAAAATAATATTATTCTTATAATAAAATTAACTAAATATCTTCTGGATCGGTTAAGAACTTTCAACTTTTTTAGCACCACAATTAGAGTCAGATATAAAACAAATAGTACAAAATGACACGGCTCCATATCTCATAGCCTTCAGCACGCAGGAAAGACCTGTGTGCAACATACTGATCACATCTCTGTGTTCCAAAAGCCTTCCCAATTGGTCACTCCCATCAAACTAGCCTACTCCGGACTGATGATTACCTCGGAAGTGTTCGTCTCGACTCGGGAAAGAACGGGGAACTGAACATCAGGATCACATGGGAACCAAGAACGACCATACTAGAAATGGCCCGAGCATAGCCAGGTCTTGTTCAAAACCATTTGCTGCCATGACTAAACTATCAAATGACACCAAAACCGACGACACTGTGGCATGAACATATTATACGAACCTTATAAGAATCCTTGTTTGGCATAGCTGCAAAACCGACCGGGTGTGAGATCCATTAGGAATGAAATGGAGATAACATATGAAGAATTTACCTGGAGAAACAGAAAATAACAGAAGATAGAGCAGTGCCAACAAGTTCATGCTACTCTTAATTCATTTGATGGTAAGAAGATCCAAATTACATGTGCTAGACCGACCAGACCAATCACTGAAATAACACAGGGTTTATAACACATACAAAACAGATACAACTAGATAACAAGATAGGTGAGGGACTTGGTTACTCTGTCATAGTGTTACTGTACTGTACATGATCATCTCATCATATGAAAAAGTACCAACCTCTGGCCAGAATAAGGAACTATGATGACATTATGAGGTTTTATTTCTCAAACAGAATGAGAAAGCTTAGTAGTAGTAGCTAATAATACGAAACCCGCTGCTTTCGAATCAATCAATACTTACTATTTCTCTATGTAAACCTCTCGCCTATCGTCCCTGAGTAAATTTGCAGCCAATGCCCGAGTTAATTTCACAAAGAAATAGAGCACCCTAATTCCTTGGCAGCAACGTGAAGACCCTCGACGGGCATTCCAGTTACGAGTCGACTATGAGCTTCCCAAGTTAAGCATTTTTCAAGGTCATCTTTCCAGTTAATGGCTTCCATGTCGAAGTACTGAAAAGATGAACTGTGAACACCGTTTATGTTCTTATGTGCAGATCTACCGACATATGAACCAGTTTGCAGAATATCGCGAAGAACTGATGTACTCAAAGTACGGACATGTGCACTTGGATGAGAAAGGCACCGAACCGTAGCTGGTAGACGACACTGTATGAACAAGTTCATTTCTATCAAAGTGCAGTTTATTGACAATTGGGTTATGATTTCTGATTTTAGGGGCATAATCAATTTAACAAGTCTAACCATGATGTCAAGTTTCCTTGAATCAAAATTTATTTGAGCAACCACTTGAAAAATGAAAAAAATTACCTTCAAAAGGTTGGCAAGACCGTCTGCGATGGACAACCCGGATTCTCCCAACTCTAGCACAGGTCGAACTGCTTGAGCTGTTGCTTCCAGGAGCTGCCCATATAAATGAGAAATTTAAATACCAACAAGCAACTAAGTTCATAGTGTTACAACTAAAATGTATCTTATCTTCAGTGTTCAATTGTTCCTCTCCCTCCCATCTCTTTGATTTTTCACCTCTTAAGAGTATAGGTTGCTTTGTTTTTATCCCGAACCTTTCCCCCTTTATGCCCACGTAAAGTCATGAAATTTTTGAGGTCAGAATTTTATATTCACCTCAAGTTGGGGCAAAGTGCAAGCTTCTCCGTCTACCAGCATTCCATCTGTAGCACGTAAAAGAAGGTCGGATGCGCTTGCTAAAGTTATTAATGATTCCAGCGTATCATGATTTCTCATGAGTTCAACAATCAATTTGATGATCCGCTGGTTGATTCTCCACATCTTCTGCCCTTGGTTATCATCTTTAGCAATCCAAGGCTGGAATTCTTTATCAGCCTGACAATCCCAGAAAGCAATAGACTCAACTATAATACATGAAGCATTCAATAGAGAGATAAAGCCAGAAATCGTTCGTCTAGCCGTAAATCTTTGCTACATGGAAAAGGCGTTCTTCGCTATTATAAAAAGATTGATGGCATTAACATATTTATTTACCACGAATAGGAATCGTGATAGTTTTAATGAAAATGATTAAGAATAAATTGAAGCAATAAACAAGTTGACTAGAAAATAGACCTGAAGCACAACAGCTGCAGCTGCTTTTGCTGGGGATGCAGATACAACATTGCATAATGCATCGACTACCTATAAAATTGAAGCATATATGTCAGTCATAATCCCTGCTTACAATGGACAGAAAGAAGGCAGCAGTTAGCTTACCTGTCTCCATCCCTGCAGAGCAGACGTGCCTTCTGCACTGGGTTGAATTTCGGGGGTCGCAATTAACTTGTGCCATAAAAGTGAAACAACGGAGAAACATAACTCTTGCTTCTCTGCCAGAACTGATCTCAAGAGAATTTGTGCACATCCATTGAATCCTATATGCCTATCAATTGTGAGAAAATTTGCAAGTTCAGAAGCATCTAACTGGAAACTCGCTATACGCTTTCCCAACATGTTTTCCAAGTCAACATTTGAATCTGATGCTCTTTCAAATGAAAGTTTCGATCTAACATGGCATGACTCTTCGGATTTAGGGACAGATTGTTGTCCAGTCTCGAAGTAGACATGGTCATCGTGTTGAGTTGGTTTTCGGCCTGCTGAAGACACACAAGAGTATTCAGAAATTGGTGCATGCACTAGGTGCACTTCTAATGGCTCAGCCCTATTGACAATAGATGCAACAGCTTTGCTGTGAATATCAATGAGGTTGTAAAGCGATGAAGCCCGGGTGTAAATTTCTTCGTCCCACTTGCACCGCATCAAAACGGAGAGAGCATGCATGCAAGCTCTTGACCGTCGAAATAGTTCTGAAACATGAGCAGCAACCATAGCAGCAGCAACTATTTCATTTGAACTGTAACTCCAGGATGTTCCGAGAGATGAAGGCTTCAGGGAAAAGAGAGCCTCCAAAATTGATAAGATTCTGTGAGTATGGCGAATTGCCGAGTCAATACTACTTTGAAGTTCGAAAGAAGATCCATTTATTTTGACTAACTTGGCCACATCTTGCAAACTTTTAAAACTCGAATGCTTCCTTCCCCGTGACATCAATGGAAATAGCTGCAGTTCACAAGCAAGAGCACAAACAGCAGCAAGAACATAAGAATCAAAAGCTGATACAGGTCCTTGTTTATTCATCCTACTTTTTGTTTCTTTTCTTTTTCTGGACATGTCTTGATCGGGCTCAACCCTTTCTTCTTCCTGAAAATTCCCACTGTCGCTTCTTCTTTTCTTTCTTCCGTTCGATTGAGCTTCATGACTTACACAAACAGTCAACACAATAAAAAGTAAACGTGAAGCAAGCTCTTCAGAGGCACATGATTCTAAGAAAAGAGAGTGAACCATCATCCGGAGCTCCGATAGTGAAAGGTTTTTAGAGGCACAGCCAATTCCAGAAAGATATTTGAGTTTCCTTGTACGCTCTGATGAAGTCTCGGATGGAAATGCTCTTTGAAGAATCGCTTCTACCGTAGCAACAAATATCTTCATCAGACATGCTTCGGATGGACTGCCACGAGGAAGATATTCAAGGACCTTAAGAAGTGGTATGTACAGATTCCAAGACAATAGGGGAGGTTGTAATGGCGTTGCAACAACAATTTCTGGAAGATCAACTGCAGAAGAACTTAACGGAATCAAGCCATAAGCAGCTTCCCAAATGGTACAGATTCTCCATTCAACTTCCAGACCATGGGCACAAAGCATGGATGCAATCCCTTGGGCAGTTGCTTCAATTGTCGCTTCTGCTGCTGGAACTTCTATCTGGAATAAGCCAATAAAGCTTGAATGTTAGAAACTATAATAATTGTAACAGACGAGCATTCATAACATCCCAAGTTATAATTTTGTGTTAAGTGCAGTCCAATAGGTACCTGTCTCCGGTAGGACGATATATAATCACCCAATGGTTCGTGT